TTGTAATACAACTATCTGACCATGGGCCGTATCACTGCGTTTAAGCTCCCCCTACAGGGTAGGTAGGGGACATGATATTTTTATTTACTGAGCGTAGTAAGTTTTTTTTTTTAAATAGTAAAATAATAATGACAAATACATAATTTGTAATAATTCGTGTTTTTCATGCTGCGTTATCGGTACTTAAAAAACTATAGTAAAATAATAATGGCAAATACATAATTTGTTTTTCATGCTGCGTTATCGGTACTTAAAAAAGAAACAACCACTTAACTAAGACCGGCGTTTACAAGGCCGTGTTCGACTTTCACATAATGGCGACTGATGAATAAAGGAAATTAGTAATTAATTAATTAATTAAGTCATTATTTTCTCTCGTCCTTTCTCGCAGCCGTCGTGTGCGAGCAGTGCGCTCTTTGGTGTCGGGGGCGCGCACGGAGGCGGTCCGGCGCTGTCTCAGTTTTCTGTAATCGCTTTTCTGCTGCTACCTCCAGTTAAATAGCAAGGACACGGGAGCGAGCAGACGGCCGTGTCTGTCTCCGTGTGTGTGGATTTACTTTTCTGTCCGAGCCGTGGGATTAAACGACGCCCGAGTTAAAGCAGCATCGACGGCCAGCCATCAGGTAAAAACACCGCATTCAGAGTCCGAACGTGGCGCGGGTTAGATCGGTGAAAAGTGAGTAAAATGTCCCAAGAAAAGTGTCGTTTTTAGCCCGTGAAGAAGGAGGAGGAGGAGGAAAAGAGAATGGGGGAGGAGGTGGTGAAGGATGTGTGGGACGAGCCTCCCTTTGTGCCCAGGCAGGGTCGCTGCTCATCGCGTTGTTAGAGCAGGAGGAGGAGGGGGACGCTCCAGAGCAGACACGCGGAGGAGACGCTGTGTTTTCCGGCCGCGACTTCTCCTCCTGCCCGTCACCGTCCTCCATCGGCCCCCGCCTCCGTCGCCGACATCGACTGGTCGGGACGAGCCTGGCAGTAACGCCTCCTTCTCTGCGTGTATTTTTTTTTTACCAGAGCTTCAAACAAAAAGGCCTCTTTTGCTTCTTTCAAACACTTTTAATAGAATAATGTCCAACAATAACACCTCGCGGCAGCCGTAAAACGCAGTCGACTCCCCTCCTCCTCCCCCGGCCTCCGAACGTTAGCTAGCGTCGTTTTTGTAGGACGGTTAGCTCCCAGTCTTTGACTCGACCCCTATTGTGTTTTATCCCTTCTATTAAACGTTGACACAGCGAGAGATTGGACCGAGTTTACTTGAATCATCTAGAACTTCTCCGCGGGGTTCTTTAAATATTGTATCGGGTTATAGACTGCCGTGTCTCCGCATCTTTCTGTGCTTTCAAAGCGGGTTCATTTTTTTCATCATCTCCATCAAACGCCCCCCCGGGAGAAAAGCAGGCCAGCTGTCCATAAACACTTCACTGTGTTCAGACATGACTATGTTCTCATCTATCACTCATAACACACACAAACACGTGTGTGTTTTTCTCCTTCGGCTGTATTAAATTTCAAAAACATATTGCTTACATCAAACACTCTTGTGTCCAATTCGAGTCCAACCGTTTCCAAAGATGTTTGGTGTCAAACAAATGTCTCTGTTAACGTGTCACTTTAAACGTCTGACCGGCTATTAAATTAATGACCGCATTATGGCCTAATATTTCAAAATAAATGACCCACGGCCCCAAACCTCAGCCCTAGTGTCATATGAACGAATCACATATTATCTCAAATGTCGACTTCATGTCTTACTTTGAACTATAAAGTATTTATTCGTCACAAGCACGGACAAATCCAAGGTGTTAAAGTTCAGCCAAACTCCAACAAAAAAGCCAAAAACAAAATCACCCATTATCCAGAGTCTGAAATGTGTGACGCCGTCAGGTTTTTTATTTTTAAAAAGTATGACAGTTCTATTTAAATTTTGATTAAGATTGAGATAATGTAATTTTTACATCACATTTAATTTCATTTTTAAGATAAAAAAAAATAATGACCTTCTTTTCCTAACCCTCTGAAGCACTGTCACCAGTTTGAAGCACTGTTGGAAAAAATGGGATTGACTCCAATGGATATGATTGCAAATTATTTATAATCATATTAAAATATAATGATTTGACACTGTTTAGTAATTCACAATCTCTCCTAATCACTGACGAAAAAAGGCAACAGTTGACAATGACTAATCGTCAGTCATCATCAGGCTTTTAACTGTCTAATATCTCACGTTACATTTTATAATCAAATTATATTGACCTGCTTATAATAATAAAATCTTTAGTGTCCAAAAATGTGGATAACTCATCCAATCCCCGCCTTGAAATTCTTTGAATTCCCATCTGTCTCTGCAGCTGATTGTTGTTTATTAGCTTTTCAAAATGATTATTCTTCAAATTTCCTGGGACGTACAGTAACACTGACCCACAGCCATATCAGTTGTCCTTTTTCCATTTACATAAAAGGGAAAATCAATCAGGGGCCAGGCAGCGGTATGTTGTTCAGTCCGTATCATAAATCAAGGCTTTAACAGCATCTCATATAAAGTCTTTTAAACTGTCAACCTGTGTATATGTATACCCATTGTATCAGCTCATTTCTTCTTGTAAACTAAGGTCCTGTTCATCTGTACTCACAATGATGTGTCAAGTGTCAAATCAGCCTTTGACAAATGTCTTGACACTCTGCTCCACCCATACCTTTTATTTATATGAATCAAATTACACTCTGCCTTCTCGAATTTCATACACACACATGACTTATGGAGTTTTTTTGTTTTTTTTCCCCTCCAAGGGCCCATGATGTCCAGTGAAGTGCAAAGACCGGACGACAGCCCCAGCACCAGTGGGGGAAGCTCAGATATCGAACAAAGGGAGACCGCGCCACCTGAGCAGGAACGAGAGCAAGCACAGCCCAAAAAGAAGGAGACCAAGATCTCGAGTAAAACTGCTGCTAAACTGTCAACCAGTGCCAAGAGGTAAAGGGATTATTTGTAAAGCTAACGCCGCAGTTTGAAAAAAACAAAAAAAAAAAACAGGATCTCTTGTACATAGTACACAAATCAAAGGTCTAAACCGTTTTCTTAGTCTACCACAAAATTTCTTTGAGAAGTTTCAGTACCTCTTTGTCAGTACATCAGTTCATCCTTTTTTCAAATCCTTTTTTCTACATTCTTCTTGATCTGCCATCATTGAGAAAAAGTCAAATTTGTGCAAAGAAGAAAAGAAAATTAAAAAAAACTGTCTGTCAACAAAGATTTGTTTGCTTTGTCACTAGAGCTATAGCAACAGATTATTTTGTTTTTGTCATAGAGTAATCTATTTTCCTTTATCCAATTAAATGATTATTTGAATAGGTGAAATACAAGTAAATATGTGAAAATATATCTGTAAAAGCGTTGATAGATCAAAAAATGAATGAATCAAATCTTTGATTCAGGAAAATTTTAGTTTTCAAGTCAAGTATCAAGTATTTGTCTTATTGGTAAAGTAAAATATTCTAGTCATCCTTAATTTTTCAGGTGTCCACTCTTTTTAATCAAGTATTTGTCTTATTGGTCAATTAAAGTAAAATATTCTCTTCATCCTTAATTTTTCAGGTGTCCACTCAAGTTCTTAAATACTTGTGGAAAATCACTTGATTTTCTTTTTACGAAAGTTGTAGTAGTTGGCTACTTCAGAATGAGTTCTGGTGTGTGGGGGCAATCTGTCTTTAGTTCTTTATACCATGACCTTGATTTCTATCATATCACATTCTTCTGTGAAAATTCTTTTATAGAATCAGTAAAACACACTGATTGATTTCTAATGAATAGAGAATAAAGCGACCAGAGCGTGGAGGATTACATTTCACACTTTAAAGAACAAATATTGTGGAGGACTCAAAAGTACATTTCACACTTTAAAGAACAAATATGTTGTCAGCAGCGATACAGGGAGTCTTGCGTTTGCCCTAACAGACATCTGGTTGCAGACATTTTTTCTTCCAAACAGAAATGTCTGCAAAAAAGATTTGTCTCTGAAAAAGAAACAATAGTTCACTGTGTTCCTATTTTCTATTTAGTTTTTTTTTTTTGACTGTTGTCTTTTCTTTCGGGCCCGGAGGGTGAAATTGTGTCAAAAGACTGTATTCGTACAGATGTTGTCGTTTCAAACATCCACGTCATTCACTGTGACACTAAACACACAAAGGGGAGGTAAATCACACTGCTCAGGCTCTGCAGTGTCAGTGGAATGAGATTTTCCCAAACCAGATTGTTTGTTTGAGCAGATTTGCTCTTCTGTCGACCCATATTCCCTCTCTCTCCGTCTCTTCTCTCGCTTCCTGCATTTTCAGGACTTTCTGTCTTAGCACTCATTTCCAAAAAAGCACTCCACAGGCCATGACAGCATTATGCAAGCAGATAAGCAAAGGGATCGGCTGAGGCTGTCAAGTCTTTTTATTTTTAACAGCCACTGATGCTACAAGCATCTCTGTTCTGGGCTTCCCTGAAAACCCGTCCGTCAGCATTAAAAGAGCTGATACAAACACACACGGGCTGCAGGTTTTATTTCTGAAGAGCAGTCAGTTTAGAAAGTATTAGAGTGTAATTTTACCACTTACTGTAAAACCGGGGAAGTAATATAACTGGACTGTTTATGTGAAATAATGTTTAAAGCTGGAAATTAAAGCTCTGATGTAAATATAAAATTGTATTAAAACTATGAGCAGTGTGGGCTTTAAGAACCCATTAAAATATGATGCATTTTTAAAGTCATTCAGCCCAAATTGGACAAAATAGTCAAACTACTCAGTTATCCTGGTAATCCTAAAATAATGAAAAATGTGATTAAAGATATCCAAATTCATTAGTTGCAGCATTGTCTGTTTATCTGAATTGAAATCCTTAAATGCACTTTCATGTAAATATTATTTAATATTTTTTTTATCTTAATGTGAGATCAGCTGCATCATTTATCCATGCTTAACAGTATGAACGGTAATCACTGTGCACAGACCTGCTGAGAACGATTATTAAAGCTTGTGATTAAAGGTCGTTTATATAAAAAATAAATTTGTTCGCAGTAATATCGAGGACATAATGGACCAATGTTACGAAAGTGCATTTTAAGCGACTTTAAATTCATGGGTGATGGCGCCGCAGACCCCTTGCATGTGGCTGTACATTTATCTTGGCACATTGTAGAAACAGAAACCCTACTAGACGTGTGGGTGGGAAAAGTAAAAAACCCGAAATATCATGATGAATAGGTTTTTTTTTTTCAGTACTTTTGAGTATCTCGATCTTATGATACTTCGGTTTGGTCATTGAGCTTGTGTTTGATCATTTTACGTCTAATGACTGCTTATAGTCTGCACAGTTGGAATCTTTTTCGTTAATATATGGATACATAGCTGTAGCTTGTCTAACAGGAAAAAGAATAGAAGGTTTTAACAGTATATTTTTTTTCTTTTTTGCAGGATCCAGAAAGAGCTTGCAGAAATAACACTCGATCCACCCCCGAACTGCAGGTGAGAGAAAAAAAATACCTCAAACAATCCATACGGTCCAGATGCAGGTAGCAGAGCTGAGCTCTTTTGTCTCTTTCATAGTGCACTCACTTTTGTTTCTGTCTTCCCACAATCCCGTTCTGGTATAGCTATATTTGTTTAGAAGAAGTCTACAGTTGACTGAGTGAGCAGGTAAGTTCAAGATTTAGTTTGCAATCAGTCATGTATTTTTAATAGTTAAGGTTAGAGTTTGGGGCTAGAGAGAACATGGAAATCTGCGTTTGTGTGTTTTGTTTGAGATGGTAATCTTGGGTGAATTGGAGCGAACGTTGCCCGCTGCTGCACATGCTCCTGCTGCACCCACAGTAGCCTCTCTGCTGAAAAGGTAGTATTTTAGATCACCGTATTGTGGTTGGTGCTGAAATGGAGGGAAATGAGAGGTGGTATGACTTCAACAAAAAAAGCAGAAGAAGAAGTGTTTCAATTCTTATGGTTCCTCCCCTCCTCTCGCTTTGCTGAGGATTTACCACAGACAATGGTTATTGTGTGCTGCTGCTGCTGCTGGTGCTGCTGCTGCTGCTGCTGCTGCTGTGGCTCAAAGCCCTTTGAGGAAAAGATACGGTCGTGAGCGAAAGGCAGACCACATGTGCATCGGTCTCTCCTGACGTGACAAAAGGAAATGCCTCTGGGATGTGGAGCAGCAGACACCTTTTTATTAACTTAAAATAACAGAGTGCACACAGTTGTTGACTGCTGCTGTGTCCAGTAATGACTTACTCCAGGATCAGGTGCTAATTAGGACACAACACAAATGGCAGCCGGTGTGAGGTGCTGATGAATAACAACTGTAATATGTCTGTCAATATGTGTTCATGTGGCTAAACATGATCTTGTGTGTTGAATAGATAAAGTCCATGTGGGGATTGATCAGAGGTGATGTCATCAGTAATCGGTATATACATCGGAAAGCTTTTGTTTACTAAGATAACGCCATTTACCCTTTTACCCACACTAAGGTTTATACAGGCAGGCAGATTTTTTTTTTAAATTAAATTTATTATAACTACTAATACCATCAGTTTTCTTTCAGGTTAGCCGTACATTTTAAAAATATTTTGCTCAAAAACTCTAAAGGTTAGTTTGTATGAATGATCCTATTAATATACTGTATGTCTATGAAGCTGATGGCTATTGTAGGATCGTTGGTGAATTTTCAAAATAAAACATTTTAGACTTTATCCTGTTATATTCGATATTTATACTTTATATATTTATACTTATAGTTATAAGTAATAAAAATAAAAAAATAAAGTTCTCACTGCAGCCCTGTTCCAAATGACCCACGGACTGGTACCTGTCCAGGGACCATGGGTTGGGCACCTCTGATCTAGATCGAGTTTGAAGTTAAACAGTAATAATAATAAATTGATAAACAAAAGACAAAAAAAATTAGCTCAATAGAAACCACAAAATGAAAAGATTTCCCATGTGGCAAGAGAAGTTAGCTATAAAAGACAATATCTCCCAAAAGAGTTTGACCCTAAAAATAGTTTACCTACAAATACAGCAGAAAGAAGTATAAGTTACCTAAAATAACTTAAACCTTCCTCCTGTAAAACATTATCCATTAATATAAGGCCATTAATAAAATTACCACCAAAGCTAAAATCTTCTTTCAACTACTGAAGTGGTGTAAAGTTAACTTACGTTTGGCAAACTTGCCATCATGATGAGCTAAAAGTTGAATAACATTTGCTAGTGCTTACATTTTACTTGGGGAAATGTGTGTTATTATTAAGTAACACTCCCAATCACTTGGCACTGTCTTGGGGATGAAAAAAGAAAATGGCAGCCAATCTTTTCAGGATGGAGGACACTTGAGGGAGATGCTGATGATTACTGACCGCCGCGTGTCAGTCCACATTGGTTCATGTGGCACCTGCTTAAAATGATTAAGGGAAACGGCTCTGTTTGACTCATCTGGCGATTTGGAATCACTGCACCCGAGACAGCCTTGTTTATTGCATGAATTAATCACCCCTGCTGGGTCTCATCAGCAGCACACCGTCATTAACGAAAGCCTAGCGCTAACCTTTTCATTCCCGCTCACAACCCAGTTTTGTTATTGTACTGGAGGCTAAAAGAGATGTTGTTTTCCTCTGGGACTCTAATCACATCCTACCCCCACCCTCCCCCCAGAAAGGGAAAAAGATCTAGGTTGCCTCACTTTAAGGATTTAGCTAGAGGACATGAGTAAGTCATTTGAAAGTAAAATAATCACTAGCGGAAATTTCACAGTCATCTTCTTAGCAGGGGCGCTATTTGCCTGGGAAACAATTAAGCGTCCTCAAGATAATCCCTTTTCTGGGTATCCGTGTGTTCCTTTTAAACGATATCAAAATCTATTAATGCGATGCCGCTGAGCAGATTAGCCGTCTGCTAACAATAAAAGGTGACAAAGGAGGAGGTTTCAGATGCAGCGAGCGTCGCATTTCTCATGCAAAAACGATCACAGTAAGCATTTACATTCTCGCACCAATGAGCGCAAGTGCTGCAGAGCCAGAGTCATCATTTGTATGCCTAGCTCTCCTTGCTGCTCTTGGGCCAGGTTAGCTCCAAAAGGTTATTCATTTCATTTTTCTCAGCAACAAATGCAGTCACAGGCTGTTGGCCTCCTTCAAGCAGGTATGTTGAAGAGATTTGTACCGTAAGGTTCAGCTGCGAGGCTGGTTGATGTATGTCATGCCGCCTGCCTTGGCACCGCAGACTCCCTAGACACCTTGTCCAGGTCAAAGATTTTTTTTTTCCTTCCTCCTCGGGTTGTTAAAATCTGCAGTCTCCTTCGTATCACCTACAGTTTGCTCACAGCTGTGGGGGTGGGGGGCGGTGGTGGTTGGGGGGTGATGGTTTATGCTGCATTGCCCTCTGTTAAATGCAGGGCCCTGCTTTGTCTCAGTGTGGATTCCTGCCGGGAGCTGCGTTTCATCATTTAATGCCTTCAAAGCGCTGATGGTTTTATCTTATTTAACATCTGTCATAGTAGGTACTCCACTGCTCTGCTTTTGACCCAGGTCTTCCTTTCTGGGGTACACAAAACACAAGTAGTAGAGATTGTCTGCAAAAAGCATACCAAATACACCAGACTTTTATGACTAACGGTAAAGACAATTTGTTTAAATTTGTAGTCGTTCCTAAGATGCATTCTCACGGTATGAACCCTAAAAAATATTTACATTTGATGTGCCAATTTGATGCGACTCCTCACCGCTGGTGGAGTGTGCTGGGGTTAGCATTACCTTAAATGGTTACCTAACTTGTTGGCAAATTGCAAAATGTCCCATGGAGATTTAGTGATTAGGAGATTCAAATCAGTAAAAGAGGAAAGTTGTTGTTTTGCTGCTGGCTCGCAAAAGGTAAACAGTACTTTTTAAGTGGGAAAAGAAACATCAGATAAATAAATCATTATGTTTAAGGGTACAGAAGCCTGAAAAAAGGACACTTTTATCCTTAATTGTGGTAGCCCTGTCTTTAAACCAGGTTATTATTATTTATAGACAATTTTGTTATACTTGTACTGGTCCGGCCCACTTGACATCTAATCAGGCTGGCCCCTGAACCAAAATGGGTTTGACACCCCTGATCTAGAGCGATAGATCTTTTTATATTTGTATACAAAAGTTATGCCATTTAGATTATTGGAAAAAAAAAATGACCCAGGCCTTGAGTACCAAAGCTTTTTCCTGCAGCATCCATCAAAATCTTAACACCTCCTTTATTTCAAATAGACACAACTGTGTTTCCTTTTTTTCCCTTTTCCTTTTCCGTGCCTGTTGTGTAAATGGAAAAAAGTCTGCAATAATTAAAGATTTAATCTTCATAGAAAAATGTCTTATAAAAATGCAACCTTTTCTCTCTGCTCTGTCCATACAAAAAACATGTCAGCGTTTGAATTGTCTCCACGCTTAATCTCAGCGTCAGCTCAGTGACAGCTGACTTGTCACCGTGGCAGTTATCTTACAATAAACCAACAGGAACATGTTGAAACCCAAGAGGATTTGACATGGCAATTATTCTCACTGTCAGTGTGCCTGACTTTACACATACTGTATACATGCAGGCCCCTTGTGCTTGTGCACCAGTCAGTGCAAAGAAAACAGCCGTAGAATGAATATGTTAATATTTAAAAAACATAAACATTCGAAACTTTAAATAGATAAAACAAAATGTTATCAGCGGTTCTCAAGGCCTGGTAGGTTTTGTGGATCCAGGGTCATTTGTGTCTGAAGGAGTGTGAAAAAACAAGTTGGATGAATTTTTTTTTTTCTACTTTCTATTTTACCTCTAAAATAATTTACTTGAAGAACTGAAAGAATATTATCGAACATGTGGGTCTGAAATGGGATATTTATTTTGTGATTTTTTTTTCTACCTTATATTTTACCTCTAAAATAATTCACTTGAAGAACTGAAAGAATATTTTCGAACATGGGGGTCTGAAATGGGATATTTATTTTGTGCTTGCTGTGGCTAGAGTAGCAAAACGACCAGGATCTCATTTCATCAAATATACTGAAATAAATACACAGAAGTTATGGTGATTAGACCAAGTGTCCATGACCACATCAGAAGCAAGGATTCGGTGTTTTTGTGAAAATTCTGAAAATGCTGAGATTTCTGTTCTTTTATGTATACAGGTGGTCCTCGGTTTACAACCTTTGGCGTTTGTGGTTACGTTGCCATCTCTTATGATTTTCTTCGATCTTCTTCGATCATTCAAACGTATGTTGTTAAAACTAATTTCAGATGGGATGTAGTTGCAAGCGGAGCAGATAAATACATCATAACGCGGCGCTATAAGCCCAACACAGCTTTCATATGTGTTGCTTTTTGGGGAACTTCATTGTGTCTCCCAAGCATCACTCTTCTGATGTTTTGATGTCCTAGATTAGGATGTTACTACTGTGGAATTCCGACATAAGTCAAGGACTCCCTGTATTGAATGTTCCAGTTGCTGTATAAAA